GAAATGCTAGCATAAATGTGGTGATATATGATGAGATGCTAGTATATATTTATGATGAGATAGGTGATGAAATGCTAGCATATATGTGGTGATATATGATGAGATGCTAATATATATTTATGATGAGATATGTGATGAAATGCTAGCATATATGTTTATGATGAGATATGTGATGAAATGCTAGCATAAATGTGGTGATATATGATGAGATGCTAATATATATTTATGATGAGATATGTGATGAAATGCTAGTATAAATGTGGTGATATATGATGAGATGCTAGTATATATTTATGATGAGATATGTGATGAGATGCTAGCATATATGGGATGAAATATTGATTCAACCGTACATGATGGGTGAATCCGGCTAACATGTCATTTCCTTTAGGTTTAATTCACATGGGTTACTCATTCCTGTTAAGATAATTGACATAGCATAACTGTAAGACTATCATTTTGGTTATGGTCTTGATTTATAGTCACGCATGTTATTTTCTGGGAAATTAAGCAGGTATTGCGGCGAGGGGCTACTATAATAGTTGGAATTTGTTTGAAGAGTTTTGTTTTACTTACTCACATTTTCTGTTGTTGTACCCCTCCAAGTTCTAGCAGCAGAGTTCCATATCGACGAGGATTCGTGGCACTTCCCAGTGTAGGTGGCTTCTTATGATGGTATATTCATTATCTTACCTTACTGTACTTTACTTATACTCTGTATCATGCGTGAAATGGGTCCAGACCCGCTCACGGCACACTCGTGTACTTAGGCACTTTTAGATTTTAAGTTATTCACATTTTATACATTATCACACTTTATGGCTTCGTCACCTTCCAGGTGTCGGTCAGCTCTGCTCGATTTAGGGTCCTAGTGGACATTTTGGGTCGGGGTGTGTCTTTAATACATGTGAATATTTCGGTATATCCATCGATACAAACATTTATGTACATTAATTCAATATAATGCATTTCAATACTACATTTTAGTACACACATTTGGGTATTGACTTTTAGGTACATTGATTCAATATACTATATTTCGGTACATATATTTTTGGTAAATATATTTTGGTATTTATATTTAGGTACATTAATTCAATATAATTCATTTTTGTACATACATTTAGGTTCATTATAATATATTTCGATACATACATTTAGGTACAAACATTTCAGTACAAAGAAGTCAATTTTATATATTTCGGTACAGTTATTTTTGTACACTTATGTATTTACATATTTTTATATCACAAACTTCTTTTAATATTTTCTCATTTATGTTTATTTATAATTAAAGAACTAAATATGTGCATATTTGTCACATCCCAGCCCGAGCCCCCACCACATCCCGGGCTCAACTTCACCGTAGCATGATATTGTTCGATTTGGACCCCGACCACGCCCTCACGGTTTTGTTTCTGGGAAATCACACAAGAACTTTCTAATGGAACACCCATCATGGGATTACTCTCGTGCGAACTCACTTAACTTCGGAGTTCCGATGGAACTCGAAGCCAGTGAGCTCCCAAAAGGCCTTGTGCTAGGTAAAGATGAGAATATACATATAAGACTTACATGATCCACTCCCCTAGGCGATGTGGGATGTTACAATTCACCCCCCCTTAGGGGCCCGACGTCTTCGTCTCGTCGGCACACTTCCGGCCAGGGATTGGCTCTGATACCAAATTGTCACATCCTGGCCCGGACCCTCACCACATCCCGGACTCAACTCCACCGTAGCACGATATTGTACGTTTTGGGCCCCGACCATGCCTTCACGGTTTTGTTTCTGGGAACTCACACGAGAACTTCCTAGTGGGCCGCCCATCATGGGATTGCTCTCGCGCGAACTCGTTTAACTTCGGAGTTTCGATGGAACCCGAAGCCAGTGAGCTCTCAAAAGATCTCGTGCTAGGTAGATATGAGAATATACATATAAGGCTTACAAGATCCACTTTCCTAGACGATGTGAGATGTTACAATATTAATAAAATTAAAATTTAATATGGAGAGATTAAATAAAAATACACATTAAATAACAAAAATTGAATATAAATTTTAACAAAGGTAGACTTCAAGTGATTAAATTGAATATGTAATTTAGTACCAAATTTTTTAAATTTTTTAATCTTTTGCAAACTAATGTTCAAAAACCCCTTAATATTATTCTCCACCATCGAACCCATTTTCGACAGGGACGCTCTATCTTGTCAAGAAACAACTACTATGCAACATAACCATTAGCCGGCACCACCCTCCCTTCATCTAAACAAGGCCTTTTCTACAACCAAAACCACCCATTTTTTCACAGCCGACACAGCAAACACCATCGCCGCCTCCATTACGAACCCCATCGCCAAAACCGATTGCCTATTCATCATCTGGATCTTCTACCATTGCCCCACTTTTTGTTTCCTATCTTTTGTTTCCCATCTTTTGTTTCTTTTTTAATCTATTGGTTTTCATATAATAGCTAATTAAGAGAGAGTGAAATCCAAATGCTAAGCCCAGTTGTAAAATTTCAGTTTGATATAAACATCCTTGTCTCCAACCAATCCATAACAAGTGTTTTAAATTAATACAAATGAAATGGGTGTCCAAAGTAAATAAAAAGAAAGGTGTCCGCAGAAAAATAAATACACAAAAAATAAAAGAAGAGTATTCTTGAAAGTTTAATAAATTATATTTTAGTTGTCCAAAAATAAGTGTGAAAATAAATTGGGTGTCCAAAGACAAAACTTGGGAGTTCATAACCACTCTAATTATAATTCGCACACCTGCGGACTGTGGCAATGCAACAATTTGATCCTTATTATTTTGGAAGTTTTAACGAAAAGCCTACGGTATTGTTCACTTTAACGAAAAATCACATTTTTACACTAAAAAGTCAAACCTGGTACTATTCACTTTACCCTTTATTTTGTCCTTATCATTAAAACTCAAAGTTTTCAAGTTATTTTTATTAGTTTTCCATATTATTTTACTAACATTTTAAAAATATAATCTTTAAAATAATGAACAACGACAATGAACGAGCTCACTATTATATGACTTTCCAATTATTGTAAACTGAAATAGAAATGAAAGAAGTTACCCGAAAAATGCAGAAGCCTTGAGTGATGAATGATTCTTGGAATGAGTCGTGGACTAAGTCGTTTTCTTTAAGACGTTTCGCGACTTTGCCCAAAGTGTGCAAGCAGTTCACAAACACCACGTCGTCTCCAGGATAAAACAGTCCAGAACCTTCTTCTGATAAGGTTCTTCCTTGCACAATGGAAGAACCTTCAAACTTGCACCCTTTCAATATGTTGCTATCAATCTATGTAAAACTTCTAATTTTTCCTTATTTACTTTTGCAAATCGCATAACCTACATATATATATAAGAAAATAGACGTTGGGGGTGCTAAATGATCAGAAATCAAGGGACTTATTATGAGGATGCAATACCGTAGGAAATTAAAAGGAAAATTAAAAAACGGACGAGACCAAACCGTACAAATCACAACGGACAAAGTTATGTATATAGACTTGATCTTGGAATCCCATCTTTAATAACAATTTACGTTTTATATTTAATGTTTGTAATAAACCAAAATATAAATATATTTTAAATAAAAACATATTTACTCCAACACCAATAATATAATATCATGTTATATATCCTTGCAAGCAAAAGAATAGGTTCATAGTGCCGTGTTAATTAGAAAATCAATTAAATTATAGGCTCTAGAGTCATGACTAGAGAGGTCTAAGATGTGGTTGAGATTAGTCACAACTTAGTCGATAAAAGGTGTCGATATCGACAAAAGCGACGAAGACTTGGATGCGTATAAGACCCCGACGTTGTTTTGAGATAATGACTCGGGCATTTGCCCGCGGTTAGCAATTTGATTTGTCTCCGGCCTCCTAGTCCACTTTTTTTTTTTGTGTCTGAAATCTGTAGATGTTGTGATATATTCTTTTAATTTTTGTTGGGCGTTTGGCCATGGGCGGAGCTACGTAAGAACCAAAATAGTCTTAGGCATATCGTGATATTTTCTTCACATTGAAAAAACTCGAGTTATTTTTTTTTATTTTTAAAGATTTTTCATGGTATTAAATCCCCAACCAAAGTCTTTTCCTTATTTCCTTCATTGGGTTCAATTTAAGACCGGTGGCTGTTATGCAGTTAACTAGCGTAAGTGTGAATTTGAGAGACTTAGGTGATGAGAAGAGGGAGAGAGTGGAAGTAGGCGAGAGAGTTGGTTCTTATTTTTGTTTTTGCTTATCCTTTTTGTTTATTCTTTTATTTTTTTTCCTTGAAGTCTTTTAATACTATTACTTTTGTTTTCTCTTTTTTCTTATTTTTTATTCCTCTCCACCTTCGTTTCTTCTTCCGCTTAAATAGACTTTATTTTGAATAGGAGTCGTGATACTGGAAATGAGATTGAGTTGAGAAAGAATATAACAAAAACAATGTCATACCAAACTCAAATGAAGGTGGTTGGTAGCTTAGAACACGTAAAATCTTTATTTTTCTTAAATAAGAAGATTATTTTAGAGTGAGACTTTTGGACATTTTGAACTAAAATCTGACTCTGCCCCTGCTGTTTACCAACAATTTTCGTCGTTTAGTAGTTTTAACTAAATATATGGAGAATGATTAAAATGTAGTGACGGGCAAAATTTGTTTTCAATGATTAAAAGGTAGTGACGGGCAAAATTTGTTTTCATGATGAAAAAAACTACGTGGTCCATTAACACAAAAAGAATGATTATGCCCCACTGGATCCACTAATTTGAATCAGAAGCAAATGATTGTTACATTTTACCTACCATTTATCTCGAAAAATGATAACTATACATTATTTTTCTCTCTCACCTCTTCTCTTTTTGTCTGATTCGAAAGGTTTCTGTTGAGTTCTTTACTTTTATATCTACAACTCAGTTCATTTGATTATTATAGGAATGAACCTAATCCGGAATATGAACCCGAAAAAAAAAAGAACTCTACACACATGTTTAATCTTATTCATTATACCGTTTGATTTATTCAATTTGATAATCATAAATAAAGTGGTCATAATTTCCTTTTATTTTCTCACAATTTGCAGGAAGAGAGCTCTTTTCTCTCGCCATAAAGAATAAAATACATTTTTTGTTGTTGTGTCAAGATTCAAGAACCAGTTGAAAACGCAGACGCCGATGCAGAGAGATTGAAAAGTTTTCTTGTGGTCCAAGAAACTAAGAAGCGAAGCTTTAATTCGATGCAGGATTCCTGCCACCAAAGTTAGGGTCGGTTTGGTAGTACACAACATCGCCAGTGTCACTCACGTAGTGGTCTTTTTTCAAGCTTCTTATAAAACTTCCAAGCAAGTGAAATGGTAGAGGTCCTGCTTTCTTTGGTTCTCTGTAGTATTTCCCGAATACTGGCTTTGCTGCCTCGGTCTGCAAGTTGAAGAACATTAAAACATCATCACGACTCACGAGCGCTATTAGTTATCTGAGAGCGTGTTAATCGTTTAGAAGTATTCCCAAACAAGCCCTTCTATAGGTATTAAGTTGGTACTTACTGCTTCAACTAAATGGTAGTGGGGGATCTGAGGAAAAAGATGATGAACCACATGGGTTCCAATGTCATGGTGGATGTTATTGATCAATCCATAGTCACGATCCAGTGTCGTAAGCCCTCCTCTCAGATAACTCCATTCCTGTATAAGTTTTGAGGAAGAAAGTTATAAGATTTTGCGAGAAGTTCAGCCACAAACTTAAAACTAGACGTGATAAGATGATGATATCCGTGGAATTCTCTTTGTCGTGGCATCATAAGGAAATAATGCCTAACTTGATTCGAAATCCACCCACCTTTCCTCGATACCAGGGTAGTTTGTCTTCATGACCATGGTGATGCAAGTACGTTACCAAATCCAGCCACATGACAAAAACCTATCAATGAAAGCAGAGTCAAATGTGGATTCTTGTTCGATTTAGATGCAAACCTATAGGAAAATTAAAGATGCAAAATTTACCCAATAGGGAATGCCGTAGAGCTTAAGAACTTGAACAGGACCCATTACAAAGGACAAACCCACAAGTAGCGCGGCCATTGCTGTCCAACATACACTGGAAGTGATCACATCTTTCCTCTCTTTCTTGACAAACAGATCGCTGTCCGGGTGAAAGTGGGAACCAGTCTTTCCTGGACTTCTATTCCACTATAGGAGACAAATCACAATAAGTAATTGTTTTCATAGTTTCATGCATTATGCAGTTAAAATCATCAATCGATCAAGGAACTACAAACTTACGAGGTAGAAAGGGTATGCAAGCATGGGAAAAGGCATGGTGAAGCGCAAAATTCGTGTCATGTTATCCAAGTTCTTGTAGATTTTCTCAGACAACTGCAAGCATACAATTTATCACCATCAAACATCAGAAAAATCTGGACGCGTCAAGAGAATGAAGAACACAGAAGTGATACAGAGGAATGTAAAAAAGACTAACTGGGTGCCACGACTCGTCATTCTCAACATGGCCATGGTTCTGATGATGAGTCCTATGGCTAATTCTCCTGCAAAGTTCAATCACCATTTTAACCATACTTTTGAATGTTCGATTACATACGAAACCAATACTCAAATCAAAATGCATTATATTGTACTAATCTATCGTCAAGAACATACCATCCATGATAGGGTACAAGAATTGATGAATGCAAGAGATGCCCCACCACACTGTTTAGCTTCGGATTATTCGAAAAGCTTCCATGGCCACTGCACAATCACAAACCGGACAAACAATTCACACCAGAAAACACAAATTGACATATAGCATGCAAACGAGTTCAAATTCTCTCTCCGCAGTTTAGAGTAAGTCTAGATTAGTCTAAATATCGCTGTTATAAGAAACACACAAAAATATAAGAAGGGAACATAGGGAATCATTAGTATTTACCAATCATGGCCGAGGACAAATAGAGCCCAAAACATTGTCCCCTGAGCAGCCCAATACAGAGGCCAAACAAACCACTTGTTTACATAAACCGCGGCCGCAGCTAACCCAAAAACCACCGCCACATCCCTCACCACATAGCTCATTGACCTCCAGGGGTCCTTAACCCAACAATGCTTCGGAATGGCAGCTTTAACGTCAGCCAATTTAAACGGCGGCGGCGCACCCGGATCAAATCCCACCTCCTCTTCTCCATCTCCGCCACCATTAACGCCGTTAACCCTCTCCTCCTCCTCTTCAAATGAAGCAACTCTCAACGGAGCGCTCACGTTTAGTCCCCATCTTCTCTCTCTGAACGGCCCAACTGGGATTTTGGTGGAATCCAATCTCAGATCCGTCGAGCTCTGGTTGGACCGAAAAATTCGAACTTTTGACCGGTGGCTACAGCAAATTGCGGTTCCGGGTCCGCGCCAAACTTTGGGGAGAGGTTTTAGTCCGCATTCTGAGAGGACCCGACTCGCCATTGGAGACCCAGATGGAGCAGAAACACCAGCACCAGGGTTTTAGTTCCGGGGTCTCCCTCAGGCTAGAGAGAGAAAGCGAGGAGAGAGAATTTGAAGCTGGAGCAAAAACCAAAACAAGAAAGTTCTAATGCTAAAAATATTTGGATTTTAAAATTGAGAAATATATATAGGATAGCAGATTGGTCTTTGATTTCTTTTCCTTCAACCACAACCACACAAATACAATCTATGTTGTCTCAGGGTTTTAGGCACTGTTTCTTGTTGGGTTTCTGGGTTAAAAAGCTAAAAGAAATCTGTATTATTTTATAGTTTTTGTTTCTCTTCTCTCTCTCTCTCTCTCTCTCTCTCTCAAAGTTTGAACATTGAATGTTTCTGATCCCTTGTGATGAGGAGGAAGATGGGCATACGAGTGGGTTAAATATAGGACCGAAGACACAGTGAAAAAGTCTGAAGCTTTCCGCCATGGCAACTCGGTCAGTGGACTTGAACTTTTTCTGTTTGTTTTGGGGAGACTTCCACTATGTTTACGCGTGTCCAACACGCCGATTTTTTTCGTATTTAGATTATGGGAGAACTAATAAAAAAATGTTTTACGTGTTTCCCTCACAAAACATGTTTTTTATTAGAAAAATATTTAGACATTTTTTTTTAAATTATTAAGAACATATTTTTATTAGAAAGATAAAATACTAAACGAAAAGTCACACTTTTTCACAAAAAAAAAAGTTTTGAGAGGGACATTTTTTTTTCTAACAGGAAGTGATTCAAGCTAGAATTATAGCGAATATCGTGTAGCGATCATTAGGGACATATAGCTATAGGACATGCACCTTGCAATGGAAAATACAATTATGATCTTAATGGTATTCAAATTTCTTTATGTCATGTGACTTATGATCAACGATGGAATCATATATTGAAGTAATGTTATTATTATCATAATTTTTATATCATATTTATACTATCTTTTAAATAAAGGTACGTTCACTAAAACATAAAAGTCTCATTTTATTAAAAAAATAGTACAAATATAACATAAACTTGTAATAAAAGTAGATTTTGTGTGTACGAAACTAAGAATTTTGCTCAGCTTTGATAGTAGTGGTTTTGTTGGTTTGACCTAATGAGAGAATTTTGTTGGTGGGATAATGACATCATGTCACACATGATTTTTTATTTTTGGTAAACTCATGACACATTATTTAATTTCTGTTTTCGTTAGTCATCATTGGAAGGTTGACAAGAAAAAGCCTGTAAATAAGAAAGAAAGGTAGACTGCATGAAAAGCAGCCCATGAGGAATTTCATTCTTCGTGTTTCGCCATGCATTTAATCATTATTTCTCCAATGCCGCCGTCCAAGTAATTTTATGACTCACTTTACTTCTACAAGTTGACGAGAAATTTTTTAGTGTGCTAAAAATATAATTTGGTAAACTAAATGTAGGCCTGGGCACGGTTCGGTACGGTTCGGTACCGAGGTAGTATCGAAACCGAACCCGTAACAAATTTTCGGTACGGTTGGGTACGATATGAATGGTTGTACCGATGTAGTACCGAACCTAATAGGTTCGGTTATGGGTATAGGTTCGGTTCTGTTTTGGGCCTATGAGGAACTAGGCCTGGGCAAAAATTACCAAGAACCGAACCGAACCCGTACCGAACCCGGTCGGTTCGGTTTTTTTTTTGGGTTCATTTCGGTATAGGTTCAAAATCGGTTCGGTTTGGTGCTTAGTCGGTTCGGTTTCGGTTCTATGTTTAGTACCGAACCGTACCGAATCAGTTTTTTAATAAAAATTATTTGTTCACATGGCTTGTTTCAAGTGGACGACCACTCCTCCACTTTTATCACTCTCAGACTCTTACTCTCACTTTTCTCACTCTCGGACTCTCACTTTTCTCAATTGCCGAAGTCACTAGGTCTCTCTCTCAATCGCCCGCTCCACCTCCTCCTCTCCAATCTCTCACGATTTCACGGTGTCACCTCCACCACAACCATCTTGACATCGTCTTCTCTCATGGTAAGTCAATCTCTTGAATTTGTTTGCATTTTATAAAATTAGGGTTTTAATTTTTAGATTCAAATTGGGATTGGAATTGGGGTTTCTCTGAAATTCAAATCTCTTTCGGTATAATTTTAACTAATTGGGATTGGAGGTGAGACCGTGAAATCGTGAGAGATTGGAGAGGAGGAGGTGGAGCGGGCGATTGAGAGAGAGACCTAGTGACTTCGGCAATTGAGAAAAGTGAGAGTCCGAGAGTGAGAAAAGGGAGAGTAAGAGTCTGAGAGTGATAAAAGTGGAGGAGTGGTCGTCCACTTGAAACAAGCCACGTGAACAAATAATTTTTATTAAAAAACTGATTCGGTACGGTTCGGTACTAAACATAGAATCGAAACTGAACCGACTAAGCACCAAACCGAACCGATTTTGAACCTATACCAAAATGAACCGAAAAAAAAACCGAACCGACCGGGTTCGGTACGGGTTTGGTTCGGTTCTCGGTAATTTTTGCCTAGGCCTAACTAAATGTTATAATACATTGGTTGAAAATTTGAAGAATAAAAAATTTCAACTAATCGTATTATGATACTTGGTATTCTGGATCGTGTTTTCGACACATTGAAAAATCTCTCTATGTTGATGCTTATCACAAAATTTAGTATTTGTCTCAATCTTTCTAACCAAAATGTTAAAAAAAAAATTAAAAAAAAACTTAAATATCAAAACGGTCTTTGTGTTTCATAAATTTTGTTATTTTATAAATTTGGTTAATTTGGTCTCTGTGTTTTCAATTTGACCAAATTGATCACTGCGTTTGCCTTCGTTGGCCAATTCAAGGCAAAATGACTGTTAAAATTGACACATGTCTTGTATGTGAAAGGACAAAAATGTAATGCCATGAAACCCGTCAACTCCCTCTTTAGTAATCTTTCTAATCCTTTGTTTATTTTCCAAGAGAATTCAAATCCTAAAAAATTATTGTGCAGCTGATTTGCAATCCAGATAGATGTCCACAAGATTATCCTACACGAAAATATTTTGAGCCGTAATCAGTTTACAATGGAATTACATTTTTTTTGTCTTAATTTTAACTGTCAGTCTAAAGTTGGCTAACAAAGATAAACATGAAGATCAAATTGACTGATAGTGTAAAACACAGTAACCATTTTAACACTTAAGCCTAAAAACATCATCTTTTGTGGCTCGACTTACAATCTTCTTATTGAAAAATTAAAAGAGGTTTTGCATTTGAATTTTCTTTGGTCATAAAAGAATATTTATATATCATTTCAAACCATCACTCATCTTTGACATTCTCGTATTCCACACAATACAAATAATATTGGGAAAATATTATATTTTTCTTTCTAAATATAAAAAATTTAAGAGTACAAAATAAAATTTTTAAAGTACCAATAATAATTTTTTAATATTTATCTTAAGTTATGTTTTATAGTACGAATAACGCTCCATTTATTGTTTCTATTGCCTTATGATTCGGCCTAACCAATGAGGAATCTTTTCAATGTGCACAAAATACTGTACATCATATGTAATTATGCAATTTGATAAACATTTGAAAAGAAAACTTTCCAACCACTCCACGTTCAGGCGACACAAAAAAATCTCAACTAACCAGCCTAATAAACTATTAAACACATAAGTCTGCTTTTTTTCTTTGACTGATCATCTTCCTTTTATTATACTAAATTAATATATTAATTATAGCGACACAAAGAAAAATCCGAACTTAAATGTAAACAGAGAAGTACATTTCTATAGCCAACTTAAAATAAAGGAAAACAAAATCATGGAACTTTTATGTTCATTCATGCATTTGATTGGGCCAAAATCCTAGTAGGTCTTTTAGCCAACAAAGAAATTTTTAATTGTGACAAGAACATGAGTTGTATATTACGTGTTTTTATATAAATGATAGGAAATTGTAATTTTTAAGTTATTAACTTTTTAGCACATATATTTCATTATTGTTATAGTAACACATGGTGTACCATCTCGTATTAGAGTCCCATTGAAAAATCTCTTCAGCATGAAGCAGAAGATCCTACAAATCTGCATGCTTGTAATACAAGGCACGTGTCAGTCCGAATGAACCTGGGCCTTGGAACTAATTAGTTTCACATTTTTGTAAATCATAAAAATCAATTATATCCCCCATGGAAGCATGATCACTTTCTTTTCCAATGGATCGATCGAGCTCAGTTACTTCTGGTAGGGTTACCGATCTTTCTGTTCTGGACAGATAATTTTAATTAACCTTTTTCCAAAACTACCGCTCATTATCCTCTTCATGACGCCGATGATCCTCACCATCCAGACCCTCAGCAAGAACAGCTTCTCCAAGATCCCCTCAAATTCCCTACCCAGAAGGTCTGACAATTTATTTCCATTGTTTATATGCATACATTGCACACAAACTCTCTGTGCAAGACGTCTATTCTTTTACGCACAGATATATTGTATTGATAACATAAAGAATGAACGCCTGTTTGATATTTGGAGTGTTCATTACATTAGTGATAGATGATCGTTATATGCTGAAATTCTCATTTGTTTGTTCAACTGCAGAAATATAGTGGCAGTGGGGGATTTGGCATTGGATGCACCATCAATATTGATTTTTGTACATCTTGTTCATTTCCCCGGATCGATGTAACCCTTCCCTTCCAACTTCCAAGGCGCCTGCTGAGCAAACTGGTACCGGTTGTTCAAGTAGGAATCATCGGGACGATAATGGTCGGCAAACATGTGTTCTCGGGGCTGGGAATAACGACTCCACCTCCTTGGTACCAGGCCTTGCTAGCAAGTAGGTTTGGAAGTATGGCAAGCACTTGGCTTTTTGGAAACTTCATCCAATCCTTCCTTTAAAGCACAGGAGCTTTTTAAGTGTGTTGTAATGGTGAACTGGTATACCCTACCCTCTTCTCGATTGAGTTAAATGTCGAAATTTCTCCATTTCTATCTCCGCTAGCTGCTCATCGTTATGAATCTTGTCGGACGTAGCTCTTCTCGAAGCTGAAGGAGCAGAGGTTCCCTAATGAAATTGAGTTGAGGGATCTCGTCGGAAAGAGCTTGGAGGAGGGGTATGGTCTTAGTGCGCAGGAGGAGGAGACGTTTTTACCTCTACACGATCGACATATACCTGATCGTTTGTTTAATATGAAAGCAAGATTGCCTTGCGGTTTATATGCTTTAACATGCATGAATTGCCACACGATTGAAAAACCAGTTGTTCATAATATTTTCTTTTTCTTCTTAATATTTTTGTACAATCATCAATGTAAAGAAAAGTGTGGCCGGTAATGTTTCTGAAGCCTAGCAACATAAATTACTTTGTATCAAGGATTACAACGACACGCGGTGGCAATTATATACACTGTAGAAGAACAAGAACGACCTCTTGGATATCTTCCGGATCACAAGCTGCAGGTGGTGTTCTTAATTGAATGACATTGCCTTTCGGGTACTGCAGAAGGATTCTCACTCCTGGACATGGAAATTCAAATCTAATGCATAAAGCGGAACCTTTTTTTTAAATATGCCACCATTTTCGACCTTCCAATCTCTTGACAAGCTCGTTTGCCATTGATGAGAAGTCTTCAGCCCCGTTCTGCAGATCTTCAGTACGCCGGCTGATTTTCTGATAAATGTTTAATTTTGGGATTAGACAGAGAAAAGGAAACTAGAAAGTTTAAGAGATTTAAACATTTGCTAGTTGAAGGTATGCAACCTAGAAGAACAAACTGAGATTAGAAATGAAATATTGTTCACATAATTGGCTTTGATCATGATAGCAATCTTTTATCACAAAACATATGAACTCTTTTTCGGACGCAAATAAATAAAGAAAAATTAGTTTGTGAGGTTCTGCTACGATCTTATATGCAAGCAAATTGTACATCCGGACGTAATAGTTTGTGAACCCGCCCAAATACATTTTCACAACATTCTCCAACAAAAGATAAAATGAGAAGCAGTTAGTCCAAGGAAGAAAATTCCTTTGTGAACCAACATGGTAGAAATCCTACCTCAAGTTTTTCCTGCCTCTCCATGAGCTTATTTCGTGCTTCAGAAGCCGCAGAAGAAGCACCCTGAAATGAGTTCTTATCAGATCAGAGAAGACATTTCATTTCTAAAGTAACTTATGTATCATCTGAACCATCATCGTCAATTGATATTACCTCAGTCTTTCTATATTTAGCTCTAATTTCTTCGGCCGTTCTAACTCTGGGCTTTGTATCACCAGTCCCACCTTGAAATAACTTTTCCCTTTCTGATTGCCCTTCTTCATACAACAATTAAATGACACTATTATTGCATTTACTAACATTTACAGAAAAGAAAAAAGCAGGTCGAATATCACAAAATGTTTACCTCTCTTTTCATCTTTGACATCATGTGGTGATAAAGTAGATGCTACTGATAGAGGTTCATCTATTTCAATGTCATCTATATCAAAGGAGAACTGAGTTAACAAGAAGGAGAAAGATGTAGAAAAGATTGAATACAAAGAAACAGGATAGCACAAAACCTATATTAAGCTCCAAAACTTCTTGATGATCTACAGGCGGAGATGGTTCTGACAGTTGAGACTTCCAAAACACGCCCTCTAAATGATCGAAAGTTGATTTAGGAGTTGCAGTATGATCTCCACTCTGGACCATTTTTCCCCCTTTAAAGCCTTTAACAATACCACCTAATATTCCAGGTGCAGTACCCTGTAGTCGAAAGATACGTTATTACCGGAAAATAATTCTCCCTTCATCACAATGAAATAACAGTTTGTTTTTGTCTAAACCTGTTTTTTCTTCTGATTCAAAGAGACACTGAGTGCAGCGTCTGCAGCAGCTGCAACAACTTTATCATGGAGACACGGCAAAGACTCCGGAATCCTACAAACAGATTAAAAAAATTCTGAAATTATCTAACAGAAAGTTCATGACCAAACCGTAATGCAACTATCACATTTCCCTCACAGCGTTTTAGGTAAATGAACATAAACAATACCTGAAATCATTCTCAACAGCTAATATAGAGATGAATGCCGATTCATACCCATTTACCTATAAAATCCACATCATAGACTAATGAAATCACGTGCTATTTTTCAAGAGATTTAAGTGCAAATCCAACATTCTTGAAAAATTAAAGGCAATGATACCAGTGTAATATGTGCATCATCGGCACTCATTGTCTTATCCATGTTTGCCTTACAATTCCACCTTAGAATTGACATCAAGGAGCTTTCTTTCACTAATTCTAAATCAGGAATGGATCTGCCCACGAACAGGTATCAACAACTCATCAGACAATCAATAATGCACATATATCTACAGCATCAGTCAATAAACAAGTAGTGGTAGCTTGATATGCTATCATTACATGTTTTAATCCCCACTAGAAACATTGATAAGGTACTTGCTGCTACATAATCTGTATCATTTCCTTGACTACTGGGGAAAAGAATGGTACCTGATCTCAATTTCTCCAGTCTGAAACAGCAAAACCAATCCCGAAACCTTTTCAACTCTCTTAAAAGTTGCTGTCCAAATGCAAGGTCTTGCATGTTTCACTTTTCGGATGGGTTTATTGTTTCCCTGATAAGATGACACTGTCTCAGCATGCTTTCCGAATAAATGAAATAGCAAACAAAAATAAAGAAGGCAAGAGGCACCTGAATCACAGATTTTGTTGAGTACAACCGCAGTGAATCCACACAACAAAGCAAAATGAACGAATTCAACAATCTCTCTTCAGAGTATGTACTTTCTGAGCTGAAGTCATGCTCAGTTTCATGTGAATTTGTAACAATTGGAGTATCGCCTGGCATAGGCTCATTCTTTGTTGAAGAATCCTTGGAGGCCTCTTGGGGTGGATTATCATCAGACACATTTTCGGACATAGATACTCTGCCATCTGGAGTACCAACAGAAAAATTATTAGAGTTCTCTAATTATGAAGTGAAAAAGAAACTAAAAGTATTTTATTCTCTGGTAGATGATATCTGTACTTGCCTATAACATACATTGAAAGTGCAATTGACTCCTTTTTCAAGTGCCATGGCTGAGGGATGATCAGGTTACCAGCATTTCCATCAATTACATGTATATTTGCATCCTTGGTTAAGACAAACATTACCTCCTCTGCTAGGTTAGCTGTTGATTTTGTTTCGGAAACCTTTGGGCTCTTCAGGAGCCATTGAGAATTTGTAAGTTCTTTCCAAGTCATTGAAATGACTGGAGAGCTGGAGAAAGATGCATCTTTTATAAAGAACAATACAGAAAAGGAACTTGTGTCCAGCACCGCAACCTGAAATGGATGCATTAAATTCAAAAGTCTTTCTAACTATAGCAACTTAAATTTTATGGGCCAATATTCAATCTATTGAAAACAACGAAGTTGTGTTATAAATTCAGATGCAGAAAAAGAATACTTACATGACCACACTTAAATCCCACAGCAAGTTTAGCACCATGCTTTACAAACTGAAGTGCTTGAACTGGGGAATTTGTAAGACTAAATACAGCTCTGCATTGCAATCCTTTTGCTTGAGGCGAATCGTGAACTATTAAACAGAGTGATAAAATTGTTAGCTTCATAAACAAATGTTCCATAAAAACTACTTCAAGATAAGTTTAACAGTATGATCTGATGAGCTTGCATCTGATGGACTGTGTACAGAAAAATGAAAGCAACATTTTTATGAAGTCAAAGAAATTGACACTTAAAACCTACCTTCACATTTGGTTTCTGTGACATATATGAATTTTACCCCATCCGAACAGCCTTTCAGATTATAAATTCGAACCTATACACGCTAGTAGAAAGACAATCAGCACAGTAAAAGTTAAAGTAAAAAATGGTATCGATAGAGATAGATATCTGACCAGACCACATTCACTGCCAACAGCCAGATTTAAAGTGAAGGCGCAGAAATCCATTTGTGATACGGGAGCACTTGAACCAGCAACTTTTATACCTTGCACCTGCCAGTTATAAGGTATCACACCATGCACATATCTTATTTATAAGGACAAAGTTTATAAGATTTAAGTGATGTACTCTAACCTCGCTTTCTACAAGGCAGATAAAAGAGAAGAGTGGATATGTTGCATTCCATATCCGAACAGATCCATCTGAATATCCTGTTAGGTACAGTCTCTCAATACCATTATTCTCAGAAATAGACAGTTGACTGGGAACACCCCCGGTCAAGGGCCATTTTGTACCAGCTGATGGGGTTTGTGCTGAGCCAAGGTTCACAACTGAGGATATCTAAGATATACAAAAAGTAAATAATTATGTGATGTAGAAGCATTAAAACCAAAATGTATGAGCCACTCATCTATAAAAGAAATATCCAATACTCCTATAGAACCTTAATGCAATATAGAAACGGGAAAAATATAAAAGATATATGCACTCATACATGGATGAAGTACAATACCTCTGATAGAGCTTTTAATAAGTTCTCCCCAGTGGGTACCCTATTAAGTTTGGCAACAGTCATGGTTGGATCAGTTGTAGGTATCACCACCGGAAACTCCAAAGCAGAGACAGATGGACTCCTTTCTTTCTGGGACATTAAGGCAGAGAGGCAAGCATCATCATAAAGATGCAATTGCCCAGGGTTGGTTAAAACAAAAACATCAGCTTTATGATTATCCCCAGTTGTCCCAGAACTTGGTAACAAAATCATGTCTGCAAAAGAGCCAGTAAGGGTGAGGTCCGTACGACCAACACATCTTAAATTCCCCATTCCAGGTGACCATTCAAGAGTTAGAACCTGAAACATGGAGAACCTTGTCAGCTCCTATCTTTTGTGGCAGTAAATAAACAAGAAAAGCACCAATTCAATTGTTGTACAGAAATTGCTTTGTTTCTAGCAATGTTATACTGTTTTCGAAAAGTAAAGCCTTTATCTCTTTAAACTGAAGTCTTTACTATTTATAGGCATGTTATACTGTTTTAAAAAAAATGCACTGTTTTGGTATAATATTAACCATTTTTCCGAAACAGCTGTGTAACTTTTCAGTAACTACAGCTATCCAACTAAAAGTATAAATGAAATGTCAAACAACTACAAATGGACAACACACCGTCAAAACTTCTTCTGATCCAATTTCATCGCCACCATAGATAAATAGTTGGCCATCACAACCATTATGGGATTTATAATCTGTGGACCACTGTAAA